AACAGAGGTAAGAATTGCTACTTGAGGATGCATAAAAATGTCAGGAATTCAGCTCAGCTTGTCTGGATTCCTCCCTCCTTCGTCCTCTCCTCCCCTACCTAGCTGCTCCCATTTCACATGTTAGCTGAACTAACAGATGAATTTGCCCCTGTATTTTCCTCTTGAGTTGAACATCTTTGCCCTGGGGAAACAGACTTCAGTTCTTTACTCTCTCCAAGTAGAATTTTAGTCTTACTTCTGGCTGGTCTTGTTATTTGTGGCTCTTTGCTTTTATTGATGATTATGATGATTATTTTCACTCAGAGAATGCTGAAATTCCTCCTGTATCCTAGGGGTTGTCCTAGGCATGGAAGTTAGAGAAGCGAGTCCGAAATCAGATGCACCCTCTAGGTCTGGAGCAGTAGTAGAAAGCCTCACTGACTGACCGCTGGCGGTATTTCAGTCACTGTTGAGTGAACTAGAGGAGTACAGTGCTCAGCAGAAGTGGAGGAGGGTGGTGAGTAGAGGCTGCCTGCAGGACTGCACCGCAGCCTCCTTCCTGAGGGGTTAGCAAGGCTGATAGCACCCGGCCTTTACGGCCTTTGCCACTTGTCTTGTCTTCTCTCGTACCTGAGGCTGAAGAAGCATTCTGAGCCTCTCCAACAAGAGCACCTCTTCCATCCTGCCAGGAGTGGGCTCTGTCCCCTCCCCAGCCTCCTTTTTCCTGCAGCAGCCATGTTTATTACCTGCCATGTGATAATTCTTATCTACCCAGGGCAGGAAGGCAGTTACTCTTGCTTTGGGTGCTGGGCAAGTGTGTGTTGATCAAACAAACTTCTTCATTTGACTTGCCTAGTCTTCTAGATAGAAGAAAAAAGAAAAAGAAAAAGAAAAAGGCCTCCCAATGCCTGCACCCTTAAAAACATTTTCCTTCAGCACATCCTGTGGTGCCGGCAGGGAACCTGGCTGGGGGAAGGGGTACCTGTGATATGCTCTGCCGCTGGGCCAGGGGCAAGGAAAGGGATCTAGAGCTCAGAGCAGGGCTGCAGGGCCTGCTTTTCCTCGTGGCCTCTGATCTGGGTGTGTCTCCAGGAATTTATTCCTGTTCTGTGCCAGCTGCTGGCAAGAGCCCTCCCCCGTGTCTCTGTGATCACAGGGGCCCTGGCCAGCCCGCCTGGACTGTGCCGCCAGCCCTTGTTTCTGTCCTGCATCTGGACTGTTTCTGGGCTGTGGTAGAGGCTGCTGCCATACCTGCTGAGGGGTGCTGGGACCCAGTAAGTAGCGCATTCTCCTTAGGCTGGGCCTTCCAGGAAAATCATGCATAGAAAAGGCTCCTTGCCGTCACACCACACCATGTGGGTCTGCAAGTCATTTAGGACAGCAGAGCGCAGAGCTCTGGCCTGTAACCACTGTTCCCGCAGCACCCACATCAAAGATTACTTTCATAATCAGTCATAGCCAAAGGCCACACATAAGGAGCAAGGCAAGAGAGGAGGGCTGTTTTTAGGGGAGCTCTCAAACGAGAATGGAGTATGAAGAGGAGATGTGGGGTGGTATCTGGATAGGCCACCCTAGAAAGTAGTGTCCTGTGACCTGCGGGTAGGACAACACGCAGTTCCCTGTGTCCTCTAACCTTAGCAGGGTCCCTTCCTGCCAGAGTTGCTCCCTAAATCCTGAAGATGGCTGTGAAGTGGTCTCACCCTTTCCACCTTCCTGGTCTGGAGAACAGGTTGTGAAGAATGGGGGCAGCAGGAGGGCGGGCCTGGGACCTGCCTTACAGTGGTGTGGAATGTGGCCTCTGGGGAGTTAATGGCCAGAGCCACACGCCCGAGGGAGCAGTGGCAAAGGTCTCCCTGGTAGCCATTGGTTTCTGGTAGTTGGTGCCAGCAGTGCCAAGAACAGCAAACACCCCGTGGAGAGGCTGGCACACCACAATACTCGAACCCAGACTGGAGCTGGTTCTGAATCTGTTCTTTGAAACAACAGGCTTCCCCCAGAGTGCAGCCTGCCCAGCCTAGCAAGCGCCTGTAAAAAGGGGTAGGCGTGGGCTTTGGGCGGGGGTCAGGCTGTGTGTGGGAACCGGCAAGCTCCTCCAAGGGCAGCACTTATTTTTAGTCGTCTCCCCAGTCCCAAATAAACTGACAGCAGCTGGGCGCCCGTGGGTAAATGCAGAGCGAAGCAGAGACAGGAAACCGGGGGCTCTCAGTAATGAGTTCCAGCCACTCCAGAAGGGGGAAGCCAGACAAGGAATTTTCTTCAGGACTGTTTCCCTCTGGCAGGCTCTGGTACTATCACTGAGGAGAATGTTTCCTTGCGTGTGTGTGTGTGTGTGTGTGTGTGTGTGTGTGTGTGTGTGTGTTTACAACCTCTGTCCAAGTCTTTCATTTTCGCCTGCCTTTTTGTGAAGTTTCATTGCTCCAAAGGGTTCTGAATGCCGGTCCCTGCCTCTGTGTGTGAGCCTGTGTGTGTGCCTGCCTGGCAGCCTGCGGGGGCAGCGGGGAAGGCCGCTGGAGCAGCACGGGCTGGTCTCAGTGCTTGTGTATCTGCAACCGTTTAAGGCTGAAGGACACAGGGCCAGGGAAGTGGGCAAATCTGAACAGAGCTTGGCGTTCCTGAGGGGGAGGGGGCAGAGCCAAGGAGGAGGAGAGGACCTGGTCTCCAGCCAAAACAAGGGCCTTTTCAACCCAGGACTCATAACTGCTGACATGGGTGCCCAGCATGGATGGGGACATTGATGTTTACAAGCATTTCTCGTGGCTGAAGAGGGTAAGTGACTGGCTGCTTTGTCCGGGTCTCTGTGGAAATGAGTGCGGGGAGACACGTCGGGGTGTGTGTGTCTGTGTTCTGCGTGTGTGTCACAGAGGGAGGTGTTTGTCCAGTAGAGTCCTGCTGTGGCCAAGATCTTCATAAGAATCTAATTATAGACACCGGGGGAGCAAATGGTCAGCTGTCTTTGTTTCTGCTCTCGCGTTCTCCTGAATGAGCCTCTCTGTGCAGAAAAGCGAGTGTGGGAAGCGAAGTCAGTAGCTTCGGCTTTGGCTCTGTGACACTCAGAGCTCCAAACACCATGACCGGGAGAGTGTGTGCAGTGCTTTTCTGTTTGAGGGCACAGAGAGGAAGCTGCTGCCTTTTTAAAGGCCCTGAATTCGGAAGTTGTTTAACTCGTTCTCAGCTCAGATGTTATCATCTGTGTGGAGGGTATGCCTGCTGCCAGGGAAGGAGCGCCGGCATCTCCAGAGGAGTGCGCCAGAGGGGCTCCGGGTGTGTGTGACTGAGGCAGCCATGAATGCTGGGGGGTCAGCTGCACCGGCCTCTTAGAACTCAGGCTTTCTCTCTCTCTCTTTTTTTTCAGAACCAGGGATTGAACTCAGGCCCTTGTGCTTGCCAGGGAAGCACTTATTCCCCTAAGCCATCTCCCTGGCCCCATCTCTCTCTTTTTTTAATGGCTGCCTTTAATTTGGCTAAAGTATGCTTGCATTGAGTTTCAGATAAGGAGTTTTAAGGTGGATGTTTTTCAGTGGCAGGAAGGGCAAGGGCAGCTGACAGATAAGAGATTTGACACTGTAACTGAAGGACAGGAAGGCCGAGAAATAGCCAGCTCAGAATGGACACTTGGTGCCCCCTCCCCCATTCCTAGGTGCTGGCCTGGCTGGCCAGTGTGTTCCCTTTTCTGCAGATCCTAGGCTCCTGGGACTCAGGGCAGCAGTGAGCGAGAGCCAGGCTTGTGGATCATCCACGTAATGTGGGAGTCAGAGGTTACCCAGGCCTGGGAAGTAAACCTCAGACTGCAGACTGATAAGGAGGAGCAAGAAGAGCAGCAGAAGCCACAGGATACCCACTGATGACTGAGGGGCTGGGCCAGGCAGAGCTTTCTGACAAAATAACGCTTCACCAAAACCCATAGAAGTAGCAGTAATGAGGCAGGTAGAAAAGTGGGTGATCGGTACACAGGTCCCAAGAGGAAGTCTGGCAAGTTTCAAGACAGAAAGCCCATGTGGCTGAGCTCACCGGGGGTGGATGAGGCAGGAGGATGCCCGCTCACATGGAACAGTGAAGGCTGTGGTAAAGCTGGTGGGTGACAGCTCTCTGTATGATGGGGAGCCAGTGGCAAGCATGCAATGGGCGATAATGCAATGGGGTCCAATTTACATTTTAAGACTATTACCCTAGCTGTGATGCAGTATATGGGAAGCTGTGTTAAGAAATCTGAAGGAGCTGAACACAATTGCAGAGCTGTGCAGCTTACAGGGATCAGCCAGTACAAAGCTATCATTTAACACAGCCCAAGAGGTCCTACGACCCTGTGGATAGCAGCCTCTTAGCCATTGCGCCCTGGTCTTGAACTGTCTCCCAGTCTCATCCTTTTTTATCTCTTCTGCCGAATACAAAGAAAGTGAGTTTAGAGCCCCACAAAGATCCCATCTGTGCTTAGCCCGTGTGTAGCCAGGGAATGGGGCATCACCTTCCCTAGAGAGCATGCTGAGATGTTCGCATCCCCTGAGGTTTTTAACAAGCCCACCTCAGCTGGGTGTGGTGGCACAGGCCTGTAATCCCAGCACTTGGGAAGCTGAGGCAGGAGGATTGTGGAGAGTTCATGACCAGCCTGGGCTACAAAGTGAGTTCAAGGCCAGCCTGAACTGCGTAGTGAGTTCTCAAGAGAAAAAACAAAAAGCCCCATGTCACCGGGCCGGGGGTGATGGCAAGCAAATGCACTTCCCATGCTTAGTCTTTGTTCTCTCTTGTCTAAAATGAAGTTTTTGACTGAGAAGTCCTCCCAGACACGGCATGCCTAGTAGGATAGGTGCCATAATGCAGTCGTAGGGCAGCTGTTGTAACTGTGTACCTAATGAAGGATCTAATTCTGTACATGACGCAATGTAAGAAGGCCCCATCTGTCCTGAAACCAAGTGTGAGTCCTGCCTTGTGTGGACAGTTGGAGGTGAGCTGAGAGAAACTGTGACGGCTCATAGCAGCATAGATACACTTCTTCTACTTTTAAAGGTGGGCGTTTAGCAAAGCAAACCGCCAAGTGTTGAACTCGTCACGGACAGCATGATCTGAGTGTGTTCTCAGTTGTCGGCTCTAGATACTATTGCCAAAGCTTTCAAATTTCCTTTAAAATGATCCCTTTCATCCTGTGACCCTGGTCATCCATATCCAGTGCTCACTGTTAGTCTGGAACAGAAAGCTCGTGGTCTTCAGCTTGCTTGGCCATGGCTACATCCCCTTCCAATCTCCTTCCAGTTTACCTTTTTACTGTCATCTTTTATATCTGCCTCAGTGAACTCCCCACTGTATTCCTTCTCTGTTTTGAGCTTTTATTCCAGATGTCCTCGTGCTCTGATTGCTACCCTCTTCATGTGTCTTCATTAGGTTTCTTCTCTTGCCGACCCCATTCCTCTCCTCAGCTCCTTCAGCTCAGGTCTCCAACACGTCGTGTGTGCCTAGCTCACCCCCTGTTGTCATGAATTTCCTTACAGATGGAGGCTTTCTCCAGATCCAGGCTTTTGAAGGTGGACACACTGTCGCCTTCATTGTTCCACACAGAGGGGGTGGGAGCCAGAAACAGAGGTGCTTGGATGAGGTGTGAGCCAGTATTCAGGGCAGGTACCCCTGTCCGTTGACCTGTACAAAAGGGTAATACTAAGAGGGAGAAAGAGAGAAACACGTTCCAGGAGGGACCTGGCTGGAGGAGGAATATTTGCTCAGAAAAGAAATGTTGCTTCTTTTAGGGGTGGGATAGTGTGTCCTATCATACAGAAAATATGGCCTAGAGTGAAACTGGATTGGAATCCTGGCTTTGCCACATTTCCTAGTTATGTGGTTTGGGATAGGTTAGCCCAAAAGCCTGAATTTCTTCATCTGCAAAGGAAGACAGATAATACACTTGCTGCCTATAGGTTAATGGGAAGTTCAAGTAAGATTAGTGCATACAAATGCTTAGCATCATGCTGTGCATATAGGAGGCATTTGATACTGTTTGCTATAATGGCTATTGGCTCTTCCTAGGAGGGGAAGAGTGCAAGAGGAACAGGTGACAATCAGTTGGTTCTTAGTCCATCTCGAGTTATTTAGTCCTTCAGCTCTGGTTTCCTTCCCTTCCCATGTTCTACATTAAGGTCTCAAACCAACCAAACTTAAGGACCTAACGAGGCAGCTGTGGCCAGTGTGCTGTAGTTAACTAGGGGTCCTGTTGGCTGATGGTTCTGACCAGCCTAGCTCTGGCTACTGAACCAATCAGGTCTGATCATCCAGTTTGTTCTTCTTACAGAAATAACACAAGCACCAGGTAATTCCTGCCGCAAGTACCCACAGTGCTTCAGCCCCCTCAGCTGTTTGGTTCCTGACTCACGAGCAGCTCACACCAGTCTTTTATTGGGGTCAGTGGATCCAACCCACACAGCCATGAAGGAACCTCTGAAAATAGCTGCCAGCAGTGTCTGTGGGGCCCACACGCTGCTTACAGAGCCGGAGTTCATTTTCCCCAGAACAGAAATCATAGCACTGTCAGCATCTTCACACCGCTCCCCATCTTCTAGCACTTTCAGTATTGAAGCCAAATTCCAACCCCATGTCACTAAGAAAAGGGAATCACTGTGATTGTACCGTGCAGCTGGTTTGTGTTCCACAGTAGAATATGGAATGAACTAAAGCTGCTAATGTGAGACTTTATTCAGTGTGTCCTACTATCCTCAAATGGTTGATCCAGTAGCCTGGCCACTTGGGCCAGAAGAGCTGCAAAGACAAAGAGATCAGGCATCAGGCTTGCCTTGCATTTATGTTAGACTCCAGTGGAGGCTTCTGTGAAAGTTATTCCTCGTGGCTAAGAGCATGAATCCTGTCTGGAGATTGCTTGGACTCATCTGTCATCTCTTTGTAATCATGAGGTTCAATTTTCTTGACTGTAATATACAGATAAGTGGATATGAAATACATTAGAAAGTCTATCAGAAGTGCTAGTTTGGGAGATGGTAACACTGATTACGACTGCCAAGCTCTAGTTACTCCAAATCCCTGCATGAGACCATGGCTAATTGCAGTTCTGTGCACCTCACTTAACTGTATGTTAAATTCCTTTTCCATGCTTGAGAAATTTTCTGTCATTACTGCTTTGGAAGTGGCCCGTAATACTGTGCATGACTCTTAGGCAATCTCAATCTTGGCATACCAGGAAGGACAATGGATTAAAACAACTATGTCTCTTTGGCTAAAGTAGTACAATCAGCAATAGCAGAAGCATCAGACACAGCCCAGAAAATGACAGACTATTTTTTTTTTTAATGACAGACTATTGTGACCATTTTGCCAGTTGTACTTTTAACTATATGAGCTAGATTTGTGGTTATATAACAAAATCTGAAGCAAACTAGAGAAGTTTATATAGTAAATACACCCTCAAGATGGTGATTTTTACTGTCAGGGGAGAAAATTTAAAAGGGGTTGGGAGGAAAAACAGAGAAATAGAAGATGAGGAAGAGATTAGAGTCAAGGCTGGAGGAAAAGGAAGATTACATATGAACTTTTGGAAACTAGTGAAGAAGACGGGAGGGAAAGAGAGAAAGAAGATATAATTGCCAGAACAGAACAACAACAAAAGCTAGAAAACAGTGTTATAACAAATGAAAAAACAAAGGAAAACAACAACCAAAAGTGTCCACTTCAATGTGTGACAGAGTGCGCAGACAGAGATCTGCTCTGTGTTGATCTACAACCAGCTGTAGATTTATGTCAGGGTAGTGGATAATCCTACCAAGCCTGTACCTTTA